CACCCACATCACCAGCAGTTTCCCCAGCACCACACTCACAACCGGATTTCTCCCCTTCCCCCATAACAACGCCACAGACTTCACAACATCCAACGACTCCTGCTGCTGTGCTGCTGCCGCCGGCTGCTGAGCGGGACCTTAGTGAAGACAGTCAACCGGAGAAATCTCCACTTACCCCCGTGGTCAGTTTTTTCATTTGACCCGTTTCACCCAGCTTTCTTTACGGCGTGCCGCAGAACAAATCCACTGACCCGTACTGACATTTGGTTTCTCACATCCAATCTACTTTCACCAGTTTGCCCAACTTCGATTTGTCAGTTTTCAGGCTCACTTCAGCTCCGCAGCCTTTTGTACGCCATTTTATTCCATCATTTGTCATGGCCAATCCTCGCGCTCGCCCTCATAGCAACCCTGCCGATACAGAACACTACCTCCCGCAGCGCCCTCCGAGCTGGCTCCAACCTTCGATTGGCACTCAGCCCGATTTTCAATCCCTCAACGGCTCTTTGGACCTCCTCTCTCTGGTCAACCAACACCTCCGCCGTCACCCATTCCACACTGAACCTATGCCAAGCCAGATTTATTTCCAAGACCAGAGAGCATACAACCTCCTTTACCGACTGCGCGGTGACCTGATCTTGCTGGACCGCTTGATCGATGACCTCTCCCAGGCTCGTCGGCTCCTTCAATTTGTTACCACCGGCCCCGGGCTCCCAGGACAATACCGCATCAACCCCACAGCCACACTCTCCAGCAGAAACCTGGCCATCGTCCACAACATACCGCCAGGTTTTCCACTACCACCCGGACTTTCCAGCCGTTCACCCTCCCCTTCACCACGTACCCCACCACAAGACGCAGAACACCTACACTCATACTGGACAGGCCCTCCACCACAAGCCACCCCGGCAACCCACATCAACACTACCACTCCCACTAGGGAACGTTCACGGTCCCGCGACAGCCTCTCACACCGCATTGGCTAACTACAGCAACATCCAACCTCCGGCTCTACGGCAGCCGCCGCGCAGTTTGCCAACTATGAGACGGCATCCCCGCCCACGGCTACTGTTACATTTTGTTTTTCAAGTCTCACTGACTTTCTCGGCGAGCGGAAAAACTCAGCCATCCAACAGAACTACTCCTTTTCACACTCACACTGCTTAATGGTTTTTCGCATTTGCTTGCCACCATTTTTCCGCAGCCATTTGACCGAACTGTTTCTTCATAAACATCCGCCCTTCTTACGACATGATGCCTCGCGATGATCTACGAACACCACAACCTCCTTTCTCAGCGACCACTATTTTTTCCCCTGGCCCACCCACTCCACACCACAGCTACTCTTTACCGAACAATCCCATGCCATACTTGGCTCCATCCGTGACACACCAACCTGAACTACTCCTTCTCCACTGGATGATCAATACTATATCCTCACTTGTCGAGGATCTCCAACATCACCCCATTGTACAGGATCCCATCCCCCCAATCTCTACTTTCACCAATACACCAGCCTACAGACTTTTTCTGCAGACACGCAACACATTGCGACATTTGATCAACACCACCCACGACGCTCGCCGTGGACTCAACAGGCTGCAATTCCTTCCCGGCTCACCAGGCTCCCCTGGCCACTACCGCATTGATCCCACCCTTGACATCCCACCACAGCAAACCAACCTCCTCACCGGAGCCACCTCTCAACGCAACCCAGCCACACCATCACCCACCAACACACCACTGCTCCTCCACCGGTTCAGTGGCAGAGACAGGTCTCGTTCCCGAGACCGGCTTCCCCTCACCACACTCTCGCAGCCGAACCACACAACCTCAGGGCACCAGATCATCCCAGACCGACCTTCCGCCGCTCCCGGCCACCGCGGACACCTGCACCAAGCACTTTGGACGGCCTCCAACTCCAGTTCCACCTCCTCGGCAGCTTGCCACCTGCTTGCTGACACACCGTCCTCCTCCCCCTGAGGCGTCGGGCAACGCTTGGTCTCACACATTACGCTTTGCTCAGAGATCGAAAAAACCCGTCCTTTTAGTTTTCTTCACACTATCTCCATTTTGCCACCCAGCAGTCACACATTTAACTCCGCAGCCATTTGAACTCTCGACGGGCCGCTTCATACAACTCACTTCGCCCTCTCACCACCCCATGGACTACGACTCTCCTGACTGGGATCGCACTCCCACAGAGTCTATCGAAGTGAAGGAAGAGACACCACACCTCACCAAGACAGAAGCCGGTGAATCATCCACTAACGACCCAAAGCTGGAACTCACGAAAAAGGAGGAAGACTCCCCACAGCATGCTCCCATGCTTTGCCCTCCGGTCAGCGCAGTACCGGACAAAACCTCTCCCACATCTACAACACCACCAGCCAAAGCCCCTCCAGTTTCTCACACATCTTACCGCAACCTATCTACACGCAACACACCACAGACCAACCCCAGGCCAACACCCACACAGCCTGCAGCCATACCTCCGCACACCACGCCAGCACCACCATCCACCACATCCTCCACCAGCACTGAGGACCCAGTCATCCTCACCACCAATGTTCCCATTCTACCAAAAGCACGTCCGGGGCACCCACCCATCAATACCACTTGGGTGCGCCCCCCACAATGGCACCATGCCCCCCCTTCAGCAGCACCTACACGCAACCCGGTACAGGTCACCATTCCACGTCCCCACCGGAACGGCCAACTTCTACCCTTCAACTTTTCCAACGACATCAAGCATTACCTCAATCCCACAGCACATCCCACTCGACGACCAGTCACATCAAGTCCCGTACCACCATCTCACTTCAGTCCAACCACTACCACCAACACCACTACAGTTTTCCCACCAGTACCCCCCATTCCAGATGCGCCACTAACAGAGCAGCAGGCGGCCACGCTCCAACAAACCATCCTGCGGATTGCGCGCCAAGCCGCCGCTGCAGCCGCGGCCGAGCTCAACTCACGCCACAGCAGCTCATAGTCTCACCCCGCACCTTCACACAGCGTGTGATGACCAAAAAGAACGCCACCTCCTTTCGGGATTTCACTTTCCACTTGTTCGACTTTTTCTACATTTTTCCTGCCCATTCTACTTGGATTGACACCTGGTTCTAACCTCTCAATCCCACATGCAGAGTGTGTTCTACTTGACTGCAGCCGTTTTTTCAAACTCGTGATCGTTACCTACAACCGTGCACCGCTTCCACGCTTAGCTGTCAATGGAGCGCCACGCCGACTATGATGAGCAGTCTGAGGTTCTACTTTTCTTCAATGAAGATCCGGAGGAAATACCTCCGCAAGTGCAGGATCCAACATCCCCGCTGCAGCCTCAACCCAATCCACTTCCCCCACCCTCACAACCCGCACCATCAGCCACCACCAACATCTCGGCAGACCAATCGTTTTGGGCCGAAGTATACACCCTCCA